CTGAAGCACCTCCCATCCGCCCCCACATCCCCCAACCCCCAACGCCCCAGTTATATGTGTGTAGGTGTGCTGTGTGTGCGCGTATTTGTGTATGTGTGTGCCTGCCGTGAGAGTGTGTCTGTGCATGAATATGAATGTATGCGCGTATGTTTGTGTATGTGTGTGTTTGTAAGTGTGTGTGTGTGTGTGTGTCTGTGCTTGTAAGTGTTGTAAGTGTATGTGTGTGTTTGTAAGTGTGTGTGTGTATGCGTGTGTTTGTAAGTGGGTGAGTGTGTGTAAGTGTAAGTGTGTCTGTGCCTGCGCGTGAGAGTGTGTCTCGCCTTACTCACAACCTCGTTCCCCAACACACAGATTCCACTTGCACCCAAGGACCACCCTGCGCCACACCCAGCTTACAGAAGCGCAACTCGGCTATGGTTGCCTGCTCCTTCCTGCTCGCCCGTGAGCGCGTGAGTGGCACGAGCTACAATGCGACAGCGCTGTAGCAGCATGCAACCAGCACCCGAATGCCCAATGTGGAGGCAGACCCTTTGCTATATCGAAGTGTCCTGCCTGTGTTCAGTCCCAGGAAGCTTCCAGTAGGCCCCGGTAGCCTGAGGCACAGCACGAACGAGAACAGGCGTTGGTCCTGAGGTGGTTGCATGCCCGCAACCGCCTTTGGCCTGTGTTTGGCCGAGTACCCGTATCCAGCCCAGGGTTTGCTTTCCATACATTCACACAGGCACCCCAGGACCAAGGTTCCCTCAACCAACTGACGCCAGACTCATGCAACCTGCTACAGGCCCAATTTTGTGTGTGTGTGTGTCTTTTTTCCCTTTTCTTAATTTGTACGTCTTTGTAAGATCTACAACCCTATATTTTTTTTTTTTTTTTTTTTTTTTTTTGTTTTAGCCCTTAAACAATCTGTGTGAAACAAAAAACACAAATACTCATTTCATTTTATTTTTTGTTTTTTCATTGGTTGTTTATGTTTTTGATTTTTTTTAAATAGATTTAGGCATAAAAAAATACAAATAAAAACACAGGGTTGTAGTCCTCAACAAAACTTACAACCCCATATATATATATATATTTTTTTGGATAGTTTTTCGCCCAGGAAAAAAATCATCCCGGACCCCGTTAATTCCCGTCCAACTCGCGTTTGAACAGGAGTTTAACGCGAATTCAACGTGCGTTGAATTTTTCAACGTGAAACCCGCGTTAAATCCAATTTCGGACACACAAGCCGCCACAATCGTGGGCTTCGCCACGAGCTTTGCGTAGTACAACACCTCCTCGGAGGAGCGTGCATCGTCGCCCCCCATGCGCATGACCCACATGCACGAGGCGAGAAGCAGGTCGAAAGCGTCTGCGACTCTGCTAAGTCTTGACTGGGACATTTTCCCACCGTCGGACCACTGCCCGGCTCGGAGCGCATCGTGAAAGCAGGACGCCAAACGCATCACCGTGGACTGCTGATGGGCTGCCATGTCGTCGTCTTCGGGACTATCCTCCATATATGCCCCCGCATACCACAATGGAATGTCCATCTTTAGAGCGAGCGTGTGGTAGACGACACTATGCGACACTACCCTCGACCGCTCCGCGCTCTGCCAAACTGCTTTCGCTAGATCGGTGGGGTAATCGACAGCGACATACGACTCGGCGCCAGCGAAACCATCGGACCTTGAAGACGACCTGAATATCCACCCGTGGATGACGCGCATAGCGACATTTTTCGTCTGTCTCGCCCTCCAATTCATGAACCCCGCGCAACGTTTTGGACTTCAGGACGTGCCCCCTTCCGGTTTGCCCGCCAGCGCCTTCGTCGGATCCGCCCTCTCGCTTTTTCAATTGGTACTGTCCACGTGGCGCCATGCGCTACCAATCGCTCTCCCGCGTCTCGCAAATGAAGGCGTTGTGAGTTTGTCGCGTGTCGCGGACGACGCAGCGAACAGATAAAGAAGAGAGAGACGAGCAAGTAAAGACTGCGGTGGTGTTTGGCGATCGCGAGGATGATCAACTCCCGGCGCACCGGAACACAGCCCCGAGGCGTGGCAAGGAATGGACGCCCACAAAGTGCAGGACACGAAAACCAGCAGACATGCACCGACCTTGATAGTGTTGAAGGTGACCTTTCCCTGCCACGATGCGCTCCTAGAATGATAGCGTCGATTTCACCCAATGCCATCCAGGCCGGGGAAATTCCAACCTCGGGGAACTACCATATATACATATATATATATCATACATATGTATATATATATATATGTATATATATATATATATATATATATATATATATATCATACATATGTATATATATATATATGTATATATATATATATATATATATATATATATATATATATATATATATATACACACACACGTAGTGAAGAAAAGTAACTACTCCCAGCAATGACACCCGGCGCTCCCGTCAACCTGTACGATCTGTCAAACCGTGCACGTCGTGCCTTCAACAACGCCCTTCACGACTGCATGTGCGGAGTCACCACCATCACCATGGCACCCACGGAGAACAAGCGAGGGATGTACTGTTAAGACATGCATTCACATGACGACCGACTACGGAAGAATGTACACAGATGCAGGACTTCAGGCGGCGTCACGACCTCTCCCTTATTGCTTTAGCGATCTCCAACAACGCAGTGGACATCATTCTGTTCGCCTCGTCGGACGCCTCGTAGTGCCGCTTCTGGTCGTCGACCTCGCGTTCGAGTATGTCGCACTGCCGCTCCAGGATGCTACACTGTCGCTTGTTTGCCCCCTCTACGGTGTCCGCCATCAATGCATCGTGCTTCTCCATCACTTCGGCGATGGTGTCAAAAGTTTGTTGACGCATGTTCTTTCTCTTGCCAGCGCCGCCCGTGTTGCCTGCATTGAACCCGGACTCCCGCGCCAACCCTCCATCTGCGTCATTGCTATCACCGACATCTCCCCTGGCATAGGATTCGCCTGCAACAGATGGCTGACGTTGAGTATCCCCCGACATCTGCACTCCTCCCTGGGCGCTCGTGTCGACGAGGTTATCCGAGTAGATGGTCCTTATTGCCTTGAGACATATTGTCGATCTCAAGGTACACTCGCTGATCCATTTGGAAGCTGAATCCCTCTTCTGTTCTCAACGCAGGCATCAAGATGAAGGAGTTCTTCCCCCCGGACGCCTTCTGGTATCGTTGCACCTTCTTATACTGCTTGAAGAGGTTATCCCACTTCTTGCCGATGTCGTCGGTCGTCCTCTTCACGCCCACCTCCACCAGACGCTTCTGCAGGCCCTGCAGCTTCCATTCCCTGTTGCGCATGTGGCCGTAGTTGTGCGACATTCCTTCGAAATGAGCTTGCTGGTCCCGCTTCGCTCGAGCGAGCTTGATCATCTCCTCAACACTCCAAGCTAGATGTTTGTCACCCTTCTCGCTCATAGGACCCTTCGATCCTCAACCGCCACGTGACGCGGCCTTCTGTTGACGTCCACATCCACCCCTCCGTCCACCACGCACACCAACGGGTCGAATCTCCAAGTCATCCGCATCTTCTGGTTCCTCCTCGCAATGGGAATCTGGAGATTCTTCACCACTCGCCCTCCGACAATCGTCCGCATCAGCATCGCTCCCCACACGCATCAGCGACACCCCGTTCGTTATGTTATCAGTGGTCGCTCGGCGCATCTGTTGGCGCCAGGACGCCCACGCCTGCCTCCCCATTTCTTCTGGTGGAGAAGTGCTGGTGTTCGCCGCCGGTGCGGCCACCCTCTGCCAAAGCGCAGGCGAAGGCGTCGCGGAGTGGGTGGGTAACACTGCCCTCGGCGGATTGCCAGCTGGTCCCATGCCTCCACAAATGGAGGGCGCTTGACGACACCCATCTTCCGTGCCACCCACACGGGAGGATCTTCCACCTACCCCCACCACTCCCACCCGACCCACAGACGTTTGCCCGATGGTCATGGTGCCCACGTGGTTCGATGCACAAGTGTTCGCACCCACTCCAGGCGTCTTGCTTGACAAGCCGAAATCCAAGTCCACAATCTCCGTATCACCACCATAGATACCCTCCTCCCGCATTGCCGAGTACGACTGACGACTAGTCCCTGCTCCCCTTTGCTGGTAGTGCCTCCCCATCCACTCCTGCGTAGATCCGCTCCCCAGAGGAAGAGTGTGGGACAGATCGTTCACCCATTCCTCTTATGGATCCGGCGGTAGCGGTTGCTGGTGCGGCGGGAGATGACTGTACAACGTGGGGTCATACGTGGGTGGACGATGGCTCGACACCGGCCGCTCATGAATGGAGAATTCAATCGCACGTCTGTGTTGTCCGGCGGAGCTCTCCCGCCTTTCCATTGTCGTGTTCGTGGCCACTTGTCGTCTGCTCCTGCCACGAGGACCCCGTACAGCAACACAGGGGCGCAACAAGATGACAAGGAGCAGGAGAAGAGTGGCCAATAACAGGAGCGGGAACCGTCGGAGGACGTCTGCCATGAATCGCAGCAGCTGTCGATCTGCACCAACTGGAGATCCCTCCCGCACGCATGTCAATGTCGGGCAATGGACGATGTCGAGGAGAACAGCAGTCTGCCGGCGCTGCTCACAGGGCAGGGACAAAATAAATTTTGAAAAAGTCGACCGTTGGAGACCACGCCCAACGATGTGCGCAAGGAGAACACCGCCACATGAACGGCGTCGTAGTCGAAGAACCGCCCCCCGACCCTCGACGCACCAACTGTAACGGCACACTCCACAATGATCCATCAATCGTGGCTCCTTGAGCCCAAGGGACCTTGCGATGACCCCTTGAATCCAAGGACGTTTTGGCTGGGGATTCTACGGAATCCAAGGAAATCTCTCGGGAGCGTTTTCACATTCATTCAAGGAATTTCGTGAATTAGGACGCGGTGTAACGATGCCGATTTCCTAAAAATCGGAATCCAGTAATGACGTCCATAAATAAGTAAAAATGTCTCAAGGCCTTGTTAGACCCTCCTTGGAAAATCCTCAGGAATTAGGATGAAGTCCTTGGAAAAACGTTCCTTAGACCCTCCTTGGAAAATCCTCAGGAGTGAGGACGAAGTGCTTGAAAAACTTGTCAGTTTTCGGCGTCATCGCTACACCGCGTCCTAATTCGATGGGTCCCAAGGAAAACCCTTGGAGGTCTTCGGCGGCCAATTTCATACCCATGCACTCGGCCGTGGGGGTGGATGTGCGTCATGTTGCTGGGATGTCTGTGCTTCCTCGGGTGTGGTGCAATAGCGGCGGCGGGGAGGCCTACCAGGCTGAAGAAAAAAAAAAGGGCGCCAATATTCCGATTGAAATTTTGAATTTTGAACCCTCCATTGTGACGCATTTGTGCCTGAGCCGCCCTAGCCGTTGGACTGGAGAATTCATCCAAACGTCTGTGCGGAGGAGTGATGGCGGCCATGACTTAAAAGGCGGGCATTGGAACGTTGGGCGATGTAGCGTGTATGCGTAACGGTTCTATACTGCAACGTCGCCTTCGTGTTCCGCATGCTCTTCGGGCCGTCACAACTGAGCGCGAACATAACACTTGTGTGAAACGTGGAGAGTGCGAGCGCGGTCCCCATCGGTGCGCAGAAGGTGCAACAAGGGCACCGGTAGGCGAACGAGTGGTGGACGCTTGCACATTGCAATTCCTGACGATGGAGGGAGACATCCCAGGTGGTGCAAAGGCATTAACAACATTGGAGAGAAGCACAACGGTCGCAGTTGTGTCAGTCGTTGCCATACGTTATCGCATTGACTCATTGAGAGAACAACAACTCGCCTGAGGATGAGATTGCTCGTTTGCAGGCAGAGGCAACTAATGCAACAAGTCATGGATGCACCCGATTGTGTGTCGTTATCGGAATCCATTGTGCAATTCTGATGCGCCATGGCATCGGGTGTGATCCCGCGAGCGACGCCGAGATGGTGGATGAGGAGAAGGACGAGAGGGACATGGGAGCCTCAGAAAGCCGCCCTTGACGATGGGTGTGTTTCCTAACTACATCCCGGAGTGGGCTTCATGTAGAGTGCGCTTCAACTACCACGCTGGTTTGGCGGACCCCGCATCACGGCGAAGATGGACTGGATGGGGACGGGACCTTTTGATGGCGATCGCAAGGAGGACGGTCCCAACGACGACATAGGGAAGTGAATTTGGTGGATATGGTCGTCCTGCGCATCGTGGCAGCATGCTTCGCCCGTAGAGTGGAATGGTCCGTGGTCTTCGGTGGCACGCCCGTCGTTTTGGTTTGTGTATGGCGGGTGCGGGTGTGATCCCGTGAGCGACGCCGTGATGGTGGATGAGGAGAAGGACGAGAGGGACATGGGGGCCTCGGAAAGCCGCCCTTGACGATGGGTGTGTGACCTAACTACATCCCGGAGTGGGCTTCATGTGGAGTGCGCTTCAACTACCACGCTGGTTTGGCGGACCTCGACATCGCGTCGAAGATGGACTGGATGGGGACGGGACCTTTTGATGGCGATGGCAAGGAGGACGGTCCCAACGACGACGTAGGGAAGTGAATTTGGTGGATATGGCCGTCCTGCGCATCGTGGCAGCATCCTTCACCCGTGGAGTGGAATGGTTCGTGGTCTTCGGTGGCACGCCCGTCGTTTTGGTTTGTGTATGGCGGGTGCAGGGGCAGGGGGAAAGGGGTGTCGACGCAGGATTGGCATGGGGGTTAAGCTGGCAGGCGAAGGTCGGGGTGGCTAGGGTCCGGGCGGGATGGGGGCTTGGGGGGGGGGATATAGACATGCGTGTCGGCGATCGAGGGGCGCTCTAAAGTTGATGTGGCCATTTTGTTTCGCCCTAGTCGTGTAGTGTGCCACGTCGCCCGCCGACGCACATATTCGTGGCAGCCGACCGCAGATGTGGTTGTTTTCATTTTCGTTTTTTTGCGGATTTGTGCAGTGCATGCACTGCTAAGTAAAGGCCATGTGATTAATGACACCTTTTCGGGGATGACACAACAAGAGGGTATGCGTTTTTTCAATTTCTTTCATGAAGCCAGGACATGTGTCGAATGGTAAATTTTGCAAGATTTGTGTTCCGCATCATATTCTAAAAATTATGTTTTCGCATTGAATGATTGATTGATTGATTGATTGATTGATTGATTGATTGATTGATTGATTGGCTGATCGATTGATTGATTGCTTGATTGATTGCTTGATTGCTTGATTGGTTGGTTGATTGATTGATTGATTGTTTTATCGTTTGGTCGGTTAGTCAGCCGATCGAATGATCCATTTAATGCTTTATCGGTTGGTCGGCTAATCGCTTCATCGATTGATAGATTGATTCATTGTTCGATTTATCCGTGGTTGAATTGAATAGCACAGGAAATGGGCATGGATAGACAAGAAGGTGCTTCTTTTGTTGCTGCATGAACTGAATGACAAAAAAAAAAAACGCATCGATCGATTAACGCAACAAAAGAACTCATAGATGACACGAAAGCGCATTCAAGGACGCAAATATGCAAAAAGTGGCACAACAAAGACGACACCGCCGTCTGCAAAAACATCGTCTTGGAGCGGCGCTCCGTCGCTCTTCAAAGGTTCGTGAAATGATTAAAAGTTGCGCCAAGTAAACGATAGTAAAAGGAAAACAAAAAAACGTCTCAACGAACAAGACCATAAAGTAAATAAATCAAAACAACTGCAGTGACCCTGCAGAACTGTTCCCAGAGCACCACACTCAAGTCAGAACACAACAACAGCCGCCGCCTCCCTGATATCACCAGCCCCCCCCCCCCCCCCCCCCCCCCCCATCTTAGAGATCGATGCCGTAGTTACCGCCGTCGAGGGAGTTTGCGTGTTGACGCATGCTTCATGCGCTCCACCAACGCTTCGCGCAACGCCAGTGCACGGGGCCGATTGAAGTTTTCTGCGATGGGTTGGGGTGGGTGATCCAACCCCAAATCCACGCGTCGGTGCGCGCCATTAGCGTCCACCTCCCACAACAAGTTCTCATCGAGTTTCACGCCAACATCGAGGAGGATGTTGTGCAAAATGCACACGGCTTGGATCTGTTGCGGGAGAGTGTCCATATTCGTCTTGTGTGTGCGGAAGAACAGCCTCCACATCCCCTTCAATCTCCTGAAAGCTCTCTCCACTGCTCCTCTGGCGACCTTCTGCTTGTTGTCGAACCTCTCTTCGTCGGCGCATTGATCAGTCCCCCCGTAAGGCACGACGATCCAATCCAGAGGAGGATAGTCGTTATCGCCGAGAATGTACTCGTGTGTCTTCAATCCGAACGGCAGCACGACGGCAGGTCCACGGAAAAGATTCCTCTACTCTGCACGCGCCCACAGACTGGAAAGTTTAAGCACGTGAATGTCATGGCAGCTCCCCGGAGAACCGACGAAAACATCCGTAATTGGGCAAGTCCAAGTCCACCACCACCTGCGCAACAACAGAGAAACGATGCTTCCGATCGAAGTATTTCTTCCATGGTGCGTTCGCCGGTTTGTCCACGTATATGTGCGTGCGGTCTATGCATCCATTGCAGTTGGGGAAACCCTTGGCCTCGAAGGCGCGCAGAACGAGCACCCGCCGCAACCCGGAAGGCCCGACGATGTTGTCACGGTACACCCTCAAAAGCGCCCTGGTGACGTCCTCGACTGCAATCAAGCCTGATGCACGTCCTATGCCGAATGACGATGTGCTGCTCTCGTACGTCTCCCCGCTTGCCCATCGATACAGTGCATATGAGATGATGTGATCGGGCATCAACGGTACCCTGTAGAATGTCACCCTCCGCTGCAGAAGAGGGGACAACGCCTCCACGATCTCCCAGAACACCCTAGGGGACATCCTCAACTTCTCCTTGTAGTAGTCGTCTGCCGCGTCGTCCATCTTTCAGAGATCCTCCCATGTGCCTCCCGTCCTTCTCCTCACCCACCACCTCGGAGTCGCCCGCAGGATCACACCGGATGCGATGGCGCAACAAAACTGGACAATGGATTCGGACATGGACACACAGTCGGGCGCCTCCATCACTTGTTGCAGGAGCTGACGCTGCCTGCGAATCAACAGTCTCATCTTGAGGCGCGCTGTTGTTCTCTCGATGCGATATCGCATGCCGATCGCCGAAACAGCTGCAACCACCGCATTTCTCTCCGGAGTCGTCAAGGCGTTGCCACCGCGCTGCAGCTCTCCGACCATGATGACGTCGC